TTCCAAATATCTCGCTGCATCAGTGTTGATCTATAAACTATAAAGGTAAATTAGGTGTAGTTAATAATCTTGGCCGGTATGATTTTGTGTTGTGGATTTTAGAAGATTCCAAAGAAAATAAATGGTTTAAGCATGTATACAAAAAGCCTATGCAATTAAATTCAGCATGCGTGTATGTTTCTGGAGCGACTGGTATAGGTGAAGTTGTGTTATGTCCGAAGAGTGGAATAAACTACATTTTGTACTACAATGTCGAGGGAAACAATGTGGTAAGACTAAAAGTTGAAGTTCCACCATTTGAAGGTTATAATAGGCCTAGAGTTTACATTTTTCCAAACTATGTTGATGATTTAAAGCTTATGTAAGTGTTTTATTGGATTTTTTTATAAAATGTTAGGGTTTTATTTGTTTACTTGTTGAATTTATTTACTTAGCTATATTAATCTTTATACACAAATGAGTTAGATATCACGTGGTTAATTGAGTTGGCGAATTATATTAGTGAGTTGTGAGTTATGTTTGTAAGAAAAAAAAACTTTTTTGAACATTTAAAATATTATGTTTATATGTTGTTGAGAAAGAAAGCTATCACTATGGTGATCGCGCGACTCAAAAGCTGTCGTTAGAAATTCTAGTTACCGTAAGAGTTGTTGCTAACAACACATGTGACTACATTCCTGACCATCTTCGACGAAAGTTTAATCGCTTATATAGCTGTTTTACCTTTTTACAATCGCAATCGCAATCAAACATATCGCTTATCATTATCAAGCTATTATTAACCATTGTGATACCAAAAAAAAACTTATGAGATTTGAAATCAGTGTTCTCAAAAAGAGAAAAAAAAGACATTTGAAATCAGTCGTTTGTATATATATATATATACTAACGAAAACTAATTTGATACAATTGAGTTTGAAATATTACATTCATAACAAAAACATAAATATTTTTTGTAGCAATAAGTCAATTTTACCAAGCGAATATTCACAATGGAATATCTAAATTATTGCCTTTTTCGTTATTAAAGAAAAAAGTGATGGGCAATTTCGTCAATTCACAAAACAATCGGGTCAATAACGGAAGATTAAACCAGCCGGTGACCTTATCCCCTTCGCCGGTGAAACCAATCTCAGATCTAAAAAAAAAAAACCTTCAGATCCCCAAAAAAAAAAAAAGCTTTCTCCGATCTCAAAATTCTCCAATGGAAGAAGACGACGATAGTCAATCTCTACAATCTCCGGTTGATTCCTTTTCACCACCACCACCACAAGCTCCGATTTTACCTACAAACGACGTCACGGTTGCTTCCGTAACAACGAAACCTAAATCTCCGTCGATGGCTTTAGTGGTTCATACCGGTGGTGGAGTTACCGGTAATCGAAACGGTCGAAGCGGCGGTGGAGGCGGAGGAGGAAGAGACGATTGTTGGAGCGAAGAAGCTACGAAGGTATTAATCGAAGCTTGGGGAGATCGATTTTCAGAACCAGGTAAAGGAACTTTGAAACAACAACAATGGAAAGAAGTAGCTGAGATTGTGAACAATAGTCGTCAATGTAAGTATTCAAAAACTGATATTCAGTGTAAGAACAGGATTGATACTGTTAAGAAGAAGTATAAGCAAGAGAAAGCTAAGATTGCTTCTGGTGATGGACCTAGCAAATGGATTTTCTTCAAAAAGCTTGAGAGTTTGATTGGTGGAAACACAATCACTGGTTTGAAATCTACTGAGAAAGCTCCAATGAGTCGTTTGAATTTGCATAAACGTCAAGTTAAAGGAGGAGGAAGACAGATTGTTCAACAACGAAGCTCGGATTCGATGCGTTGGCATTTCAGGAAACGTAGTGCTTCGGAAACTGAGTCTGAGTCTGATCCTGAGCCTGAAGGTTCTCATGATTCAGCTGAGAGTTTGCCACCGTTGCAACCGTCTCAACCGCTTCCTAAACGGTTTAAGATTGATAAGAGTGGAGGAGGTAGTGGAGTTGGAGAAGTGGCGAAAGCGATATTGGGGTTTACGGAAGCTTATGAGAAGGCGGAAACTGCGAAGGTTAAGTTAATGGTTGAATTGGAGAAGGAAAGGATGAAGTTTGTTAAAGAGATGGAATTGCAGAGAATGCAGTTCTTGAAAACTCAAATGGAGATAACTAAGAACAATCAAGAAGTGGAAGAGAGGAACAAGCGAGGAGGAGAAAGAAGGATCGT